TGGTTAAACCAGCAACAGAGGAGGAGATTAAGAAGGCACTTTTTATTATGCATATGGGAGCCTGATGGTATGACTGCCTTCTTTTTCCAAATATCTTGGGATATTATAAAGGGTGGTGTGGTTATGATGGTTAATAACTTTCTATAGAGAGGTTTTTTGACAAACGGTTAAATTCAACGAATATCTGTCTTATTCCAAAAATAGATCATCCCAGCAGAATGAGGATTGAGGATTGCTCGGGCTAGTCCATTAGTTTCACATATGCTCTTTGTGGATGATAGTCTTTTCTTCTGTAAGGCAAATAGGGAGGAGGAATCTACACTGCTTAATATTTTACAGGACTACGAGTCGGTTTCTGGGCAACGAATTAACTTTGATAAATCATCAGTCCAGTTTGTACATACAATGGACCAAGTTCCAGAGAGGTGGTACACAGCACGTTGGTAAGTGGTATGAGTACATATTTGGGAAAACCAGAGAGTATGGGCGCAGCAAAAACGAAGATATTTAATTTTCTCCTTGAAAGGCAACGGAAACGGGTCAACAGCTGGAAAGCTAGGCTGTTATCAAAAGGCGGTAAAGAGATCCTAATTAAATTAGTGACTACAGCCATCCCGACCTATACCATGTCCTGTTTCTGTTTACCAAAACCTTAACCACAAATCTAACTAGCATAGTGGCAAAGTTTTGGTGGAGCACGAATGGCCATTCACGTGGTATGTATTGGTTAGCATGAAATAAATTATGTAAACATAAACTGGACGGGGGACTTGGATTTTGGGTAATAGATGATTTTAGCATTGCTTTACTTGCTAAACAGCTCTGGAGACTTATCAATTATCCTGACTCTCTATTCTTTAAGGTCTTCAAAGGACAGTACTTTAAGAATGGTACACCGCTAGATCTGATATGCTCGTATTCGGCGTCGTATGGTAGGAAAAGTATTTTTATCTGCTCGATCTTTGGTACATAAAGGACTCATCAAAATAGTTGGCTCCGGACACTCCATCGCTGTATGGACTGACCCATGGATTCCTGACACACGCCTGAGATCAGCAATATGCAATGGGTATAATTTATACCCTGAACTAACAGTCAATCAATTGATTGATCCCTCTACTTCATGGTGGAATGTTCCACTTTTTCACCAGTTGATAGCACCTGAGGATATTCCCATTATTTTGGGGCTGCCTACCACTAGGCATCGACGGCACAATACGCTGGGCTGGAGCTTAACAAAAAATGGTCATTACACAGTAAAATCTGGTTGTTATACTGAACAAAATAGGCACAGAACAGGACAATCCTTTGGACCAGATGTGAACAAATTTCAGGCACAAGTGTGCGCAGTTAAGTTAAGATGAAACATTTTTTTATGGCAAGCTATTTTGGGATGCTTGGCAGTTATAGTTCACCTTCGGAATAGAGGGGTAAATGTGATCCTCAATGTATACGCTGTGGGGCAGATAGAGAGACCATAAATCATACACTTTTTCAATGTCCACAGAATCTTCAAGTATGGGCATTATCGGTTATTCTCACAACCTCTAAACATCTTCCCAACGGAGGCTATCTACTCCAATATGGCAAACTTGTTCTGGCATCTGCCAAGCCACGAGGAAATGTCGGTCTTTCCATGGCTACTATGGTATATTTGGAAAATGCGGATTGATAAAATCTTTTCAAACATTGATCGAGACCCACGAGAGGTAGTAAGGCTGGTAACAACAGAGGCAAAGGCTTGGGAGGACGCACATACAGATATCCGGGAAAGGCCCCCAATCATTACATATGAGTTAATTGATTATAGGGATGTTTTGACATGTCAAACGGATGGATCATGTAAGCAATCCTCCCAAAACTCAGGATTGGGATGATTTTGTCGAGGAAATGGAGTACTAGGTACTCTAATGGGTGCAAAAAAATTCCGCCGAAGTACGACGACTCTCCATTCAGAGTTAGAGGCTTTGATATGGGCAATGCATAGTATGCTTAACGCAGGGAGATTGGAACTCACCTTTCTCACAGACTGTTCCGACTTGGTGAAGATGGTGACTAACCCAACGGAGTGGCCAGCATTTGCAATACATTTGAAGGAATATGACACCAGCAGAAGGGAATTCGTCTCTTTTTCACTAGCTCACATACCACGCATGCAGAACACAAAGGCGGATAAGCTAGCACAGAGTGCTCGATCGTGCCTTTATCAACTAGACTATGTAAACTCAGTTCCATCGACTTGGCTCGCTGAGTAGTTCTAGGAATATGAGGATGTTGACCAAAAAAAGAACAAATTGATGTCGTAAAGCTAAAACTTATAGTATAAATTAGGAAAATTTTCTAACTTCTAAATTATTTGACAAAAAAATAAAAAACATTAATTCTTGATTTCTCAAGTATCGGTATCAACAATGAATAACTATATAAAGTTGTAATAGGTTTACACGAGTTTCTAAATCAAACATATTTTGAAATATACAGTGATTAATATATCTGATTTAAAAACTAACAAAGAAAAATACTACATAAATAATTTTACATTCAAAATTTAACAAGGTGTAAAATCTGATTTATATATATAGCCACTATTTATATGAACCAACATTAATAACACATGAGTAACACAATCTAAAATTATATTTACTTTAAAAAGTATGACAGAGTTATGAATCAAACTTAAATTAGTATATGTAGATAAAATATTTAAATCAAAGTATGCAGATTGCACAAAAAAAATAAAAATAATAAAAAATAATATGAAAACACCACACCACTGATTCTACAAGTTTTAAAAAATTATCAAATATTAGACTGCAAAAATAAAATAGATCTTAATGAAAAAAGATATAAGATAAAACTTGTCTATACTATATAATTCATTAGACACAAAAATATTAAATATTATTAATAATTTCAATAATTCAAAACACACAAAAATAAAAAATTATCATAGTACAATGAAAAATTAAGATCAAAAAATTTAACTAATAAAACAGATATAAGAAAATTATGCCAAAAATCTATATCTATAGCGTTTGTCAAACTAAAATGAAAATTCAATGTCACAAAAGCTCCACTAACTATAAAAAATGTAAATCAATAGTAAAAAGGTAAAATCAACAAAGGAAAAAAAATTAACATTATGTATGTATTTTAAATGAGTAATCTAATTAAATTTAGCAAAATTCTTAAGGTTAAATTATTATATAAACATGTGATATATAAAACATAATAAGGTTAAATTATTATGTAAACATATAAAAGTATTATTTAAAACTACCTATACTATAAAAAAATATTCATATTAAATTTTTTTAAAAAAAAGCTATCTAAAATTTGATATTTAGCCTATTGTTTTGGAAAATCAACACAAATAGCTTAACTAACCAAAATGATATTTTATGCTAATTGCTGAAGAAATTAATATAAAAAGAGTAACTAACAAAAAAACAGAAAGGAAATTATTTCTTACAACATGTTTATAAAATTAAAATTAAAATCAAAAGGAAAATTAAATTGATATCTATGCTAATTATTTAACAAAATCAATATAAAAATTTTAAGTGAGAAAAAAAGAACTTAAGTAATATGAACAATTTCACTATCAAAAAATAAGATAAAATTTTAGGATAATTATTTAAGAAATCAATATTAAACAAATAATTAACAAAAACTAAAATAAAAATTAAGTTTTACAAAATTTTAAATTAAAAATTATCTAAAAATTAATTGACTTGATATCTGACTAACTATTTAATAAATCAATATAAAAAGTTGAACTAAGAAAAAAACAAAAACTGAAATTACGTCTTCAAAAAATGTCAATATTTTCAAAATATTAATCTGTCAAAATAAAATAGATCAATATCAAGAGAGGTAAATTATCAAAGGAAAAATTGTATAAAATAAAATTAACTTGATATTTAGGCTAACATTTTGGAAAAACAACTTAAAAACATTTAACCAAAAAAAAAGCAAATGATGCTATTGGCTTTTGAGAGAAGTCAACATAAAATTTAGAATGGCCAGTAAACCATGTCAAATCAGCGTTATAATTAAAAAAAAAAATGTAAAGACATCACACTATGCTACATGTTCAAAACTAAAATTATCAAATAGTAAACTGCAAATAAAATAAATCTTAATGATAAACTGGACAAAGTTATAAGCTAAATTTCGTAAAAAAAACTTGGTGGAGAAGCAGGAAACAGCTTTCCACAATCATTGCAGCATCCCAACAAAAGTAAATGTGAATCAACATGAATCATGTATTATATATGTCTATTTACACAACACCAGTGAGATATTTAATCAAAAAACTAAATACTTAAACACATAAATCTTAAATAAAGAAGAACTATATAAATTCTAATGAAACAAAGCAAAACACCAAAAACTTAGTAAGGAAATCATAAGAAAATCATTCTTTAAATCAAATATATGCACATCGACGTTGGATAACTCGATAGGCGTCAGTAAAAATAATTTTACTTAATAAGATTTATAATTTTATAAACAAAAAAAGGAAAAAACTACACATTTTATTTTAATTTTTTATATAAAAAATATTTTCTATAAATATATTATAGTTTTAATAATTTAAAAAATAGTAACCAAAAAAGAATTAAATCAAATTATTAATACAGATCTGTACATAGCACGGATTAAAAGCCTAGTAGATATATAAAAGCCACGAAATAGCTGTAATTGCCACAAGAAAAATTAGTCATAAAACTATAGCCATAGAAAAAGCCACAAAAGCTTTAGCTAATTTTTTCCGTGGCTTTTTGGTGACTTCTTCATAATTATCACATGATTTTTTTCAAAATTGCAACAGATTTCAATTTCTGGCTACTCCATGATTATACGAATAATTTTTACTAGTGAAATTAAAATGGTTCAAAAAAAAAAAAAAACAAAATCGCCTTAGGTCCCATAATAATATTGAACCGAGGCCTCGTGCTAACAAATTATGATTAATTGATAATTAAGAAATGTACCTTGTGGTCATGCTGAGAGTACCAATCGCCTATGAGGAAGGTCAAGTCTCCGGTGGGCTGAGGGAAAGGGAGGGGAATGCGAGGGCGGTTGAGGATACGGAAGGCGCCAAAACCACCAGAGGCCTTTTGAACAGCGAGCGAAGGGAAGTAGAAGAAACTACCAATCTGGTCTTTGACATGGAGGGCATAAGTATAACTCTTACCCGGTGGGATTGGACAAGTCGTTCCATACAGTCCATCTTGGTAAGAATTCTTCATCAGTTTCACTCCGTTCCTTCATTTATCAATTTCTTGTTGTGTTTATTAAATTGATGCGATTGTAATTAACATGAAAACTTGACGTGTTCACTAATACTACCTAACAAATTAACAAGTTTGAGAAGAAACGGCACATGTGCATGCAAATGGCCTTCTTCTAATATAACCTAAGCTTTTATTTAATTAGAACGGGCCTTGATATAAGCTCCCTAATTATTCATACATATGCTTTTAAATTTATTGATGCTACTTCTGCATTGCTTTTCAAATGAATGGAGAAATACTTGATATGATTTTTGTAAGAACTTGTCTAAGAAAATAGAAACTAAAGGAAGTGGTGAAGAAATAGATACCAAGACAAAAGAAAGGGCTCGTCGAGACCATTATGCACATTGATGATCAAATTATCATTGGTGACTGAGTGAATCTCCGGTCCAGGAAATTGTCCGTTTATTAGGATTACCTGCGGTATATATACATATTCATGTGTTTTGTTATATGGAGAAATTACAAGAAAGCCATATTATTGATCTTAGAAGAAAATGTACCCTTTGAGGATGGCCAATTGGAGAATTCTTGCCGTAAGTGACTGTCCAGTTGAAAAAACGTTTGGGATCTTCAGCTCGAACAGAAGATATGATTGCCATTATCGTCATCATAACCCAAATGCCGCCGTCTTGGCACCACCCCATGATTGCTCTCGCAGTTTCCCTAGATCTTGATGAAATTTTGGTAATGAGGAGGAGAACACGATGAAAAATTTGGTAGGGAAAGCTTGAAGTTTCTAGTAACCCAACAATGACTTGGTCACGTATTTAAAGTCCAATGGGAAGCTTTCCAATAAGCTAGTTTCGTGTTTTATTCAACTTTTCAATATATATATATATATATATATATATATATATATATATAAAAAGAACCATCTAAATGTCATATAGCTGATAAAAGAATAATAGTACAACAGTACAATAGTAGGGAAAAAGAGGACGAACCTTCTAAATGTCACTGATGTAGGAGAATATCGTCAAGATTCCACGCGATATGAAATAGTAACCATTAATTTGTAGTAAGGTGAGTGACCCGTTTATTTTTTTCAATAATTATTTTGGCTTAGGGAGAGGAAGATCTTCGCTTTAGCGCAGATACACGTTTAATGTTTCAGAGAAGTAATCTTCTTTTGTCCTTTAGGTTTCCCTCTTCTAAATCGGATCCGCTTGCTCAGTACACCACGAAGATGAAGCACCTCAGTTCTCACCGCCCGGGTCGTTCAAATTTAGGAAATCTAATTTTAGATGTTCATTTGGTTTTTAAAACACGACCTAGTCATCCATACTATACAAAAGTTAAAGCTTTATGCCATTAATAGCAAGAAAAGAATTAACACCCAAAAGCTAAATCAATAGTGGAGGGTTGCCACACACTATACAGAATATTGTCCACAAATTTCCCAAACTTTTAATATGGGATAATTCTCAATACTCCCCCTATTTCAGGCTCAAGATTGGACATCTGAAACATGAAGTTTGTGGGAGTGATCATCCACAAATATAGGCCTTACAATCAAGATAGTTGGGTATAACATGGACAATGATATCATATTAGTAATCGGTCTAACTTATAAAAAAAGCCTTAGGCCATTGAAGATGTCCACATAGGTCAATATGATTGGTCTATATCATCGTTTTTCATTAAACATAAAATATTAAATATGATTAATAATTTATTTAAATCAAAACACACAAAAAATATCATAATAGAGTAAAATATTAAAATAAAAAAAGTTTAACTAAAAAAAATTTTACATCAAAAACTAAATTTATAACATTTGTTAAAATAAAATAAAATTTCAATGTCAGAAAAGCTAAACTAACAAAAACAAAAACTCTAAAAGATAAAAATTTATATTAGAAAAATTTCTTACTTCAAAAGTATTGGTATCTATTATAAGTATAATAAAAATTAATTAACAGTAAAAACACACAAAAACTAAATATGGTTAAATTACATTACTTCGTAAACAATAAGCCAAATCGTATAAATTTTGATTAAGAAACAGAAAAGCTATTATGATCACATGATTATTATGTGTTTTTTTTTAATTTTTTTTTTGTTACTCTATCATAGTTTCCAAGTTATAATTATAGTTGATTTGAAAAAATTCTAATCACTTCTGCTATAAATAATGTTTAGTTTTTGGATTTTACATTCGACAACACTGTCCTATCAGATTGCTCTCTTAGTTTTCGGTAGTTCCTTAACGTAACAAATTTCATTAGATTTTTGGGTTGCGATTAGGGATGTGTTAATTGAGAGTTCAACTTTTCAGTTCAGGGATCTATATTTCCTTGACGAGAGGTTTGGTTTGTTTGACTCATTAAAATCACTAGACTTATATCCGCGCATACGCGTAGGTTTTTTCTAAAATATATTTTATTATAAATAATACAATATTTTCATTTGAATTTCATACTTATAAATTCTTTTTTAAATAATGTATATTTACTAAATGTAATGAACTTCTGTATATATTAGAGTTTAATTTATAACATTATATGCTATTTTTAGGGGAGCCTATCATCTTATAGATATCAATGAAACATAGTTATCCAATATAATTTTATATATTTATCACCAGAGCTCCATAGACCGACAAGATTTATTTATATTCCTTTACCAACACTTTTGTCAAATTTTATCTTTTTATTTTATACTTTGGCATGAAGTAGTTTTACCTGAGTTTATTATATCTTAAATATTCTTTATTTCAAATGTAATTTTTTCAATATGGATCTGATTATTTGTAGATAAATTAATTCAGTTTTTCAACTTTAATTTATAAACAAATAGACTTTTCATATTCTCAAAATGCATTAATAGAAATAATTATGATTATTTTTTGTGGTTTTAATATTAAGTTGACACTTGTCATGATAAAACTGATTTAAATGCCTACACCAACACCTTTGTCAAATTATCTTTTTATCTTCTACTTTGGTATAAATTAATTTTATCTGATTTTATTATATCTTAAATATTCTTTATTTCAAATTTAATTTTCAATATGAATTTGATTATTTGTAAATAAATTAATTATGTTTTACAATTTTAATATATAAATAAATAGATTTTTCATATTCACCAAATGCATTAATAAAAATAATTTTTTTTTTATGGTTTTAATAGTAAGTTGACACTTGTCACTTGGAAATTCATCTGAAATGATGATGTGTCAAGCTGTGGGAGAGGACTCACCTCTATTCATATATATGATTATGACTTGTTACAAAACAGTTTTTTTAAATTGTTTATAAAATTAAATAAATATTTAAATGTGGTAACAAGTTTGGCAAAACCCAAGCTGTTTTGCAACTCTCGGTTTTTTTTTCCTGTTGATATCGTCCACTCTCAGAAACATAATTGCTTTGTGATATTTTATATATTTAGTTCTTAGCTATTTTTTCACATTTAGGATTTACGTTTTGCATATTATCGTCTTTTGTTTACAATATTTTATAAAAGTTGTATCATTTCATTAGGTGTCAATTAAATTGGTCTTTCTTTATGGGTGTTATTTTTTTGTTCATTTTGCACTTCCAAGAAACAGTATTAGTAAATATAATGAAAATTAATATTATAAAAACTAAATTAACAAAGAAAAATTATCTTAAAAAAATTAATTTGATATCTGATCTTAGAAAAATCAACAAAGAAGAAATTAACTAAAAAAAAAAAAGAAATTATGTCCTAAAATATATCAAAACATACAAAAACATATATATATATATATATATCAAAATAAAATAGAACTTTATCTATCTATTACTAATAAAAGTTGATGCTTTGATCTTGAAGGATGTATACTATGATTTAACAGATTCAATATCACCATCTATAAGTAATTATATTTGTCAAAGTTAATTACTTTCTTTTTTACTTATTATGAAAATTTTAAAATTTGAATATAATATTAATTAATATAATATATATATATAAGATAAAAAAAATTATGTATAATTTACTATTAACTACAAAAAGTAAACTTAATATTAGATTAAGTATGTTTACGAATAAAAAACAGTGGTTTCAATTATATAAATATAATCTAAAATTTATAATAAATATAATAATAATTATATTATTTTACGTATAATATGTATGTGTACACAAGTTTATATAACACTTTATTATTATTATGTGTAATAATGTAATCACCACTCAAATTGATGTTTTCGGTCTCTAAGGTTATCCCTTATGATTTAACAGATTAAATTCTATTGTTAGATGTCATCATCTATAATTAATTATATTTGTTAAAAAGTAATTACTTTCTTTTTGGCTTATTAATTGTTTTTCTAATATAATACTAATTAAGATAATATATAAAAAATAAGGAAATTATATATAAGTTTTTATTAACAATTATATATAGAGAAATAGCAATAAATGGTAACCAATGATCTCATAATTAGTTCTCTCTCATCCTTCACTATTCACTATGGTAAGATGTATGTAAAAACTCTTTTTTATCCTTTATTTACCAATTAATTACATCCCTCTTTCTTTCTCTCCTCAAATGTACACAAAGAAGAAGCAACAAAAAAGAAAGAGGAGAAAGAAGAAGGAAAATAAGAAAGAGGAGAAAAAATATAAAGAAGAAGATATCAACATTATTGGTGATAGAAATAGTGTTAATGGTGTCGATGACAAGGATACCATTGATGCATGACAACAACATAAATAAGGATAATGATAATATTAGTGGTGGCGATGATAACATGAAGAAGTTAATGATATTAACAATGTTTATTGACTAATAACTCATAGTTTCTATTATATGATAATTGTATTACCATGATAATTTTAACTCATAGTTTTTTTTATTCAATTTTTGAAAAAGTGCTTTTAAAATTTTAATTTTAACGTAATGTTTTGGTGGGAAAGTTAATGATTCACAGTTTTGACAGAAAATTGCAGAATTGAGTTTTTGACGGAATTTTTTTGGAATCTTTTCGATAAGTAAGTTCTTTGGCGAAATATTTACAAGTTCAAGTTTTTGTGTGAAATTTGCGGAATCAGATTTTGGAAGGAGAATTTCTTAACTTTTATTATCATCTTATCTTGTCTCATTACAAATAAAGAACAATAGCTTATATTATATTTGTATGTATTCCAATTATAAAGACAGAATTATGGACCATAAATGGGAAGAAATGTTACAAAAAACTAAAATAAAATGAAAAAAATAGAAGACGGAGAATAAAAAAGAATCATATTTTATGTTTCTTTTTAAAATATTTTGAGTTTCGTGTATATTTTATTTTTTGTTATATACAATTTCTCAAATCTATTAAAATATTTTTTCACAAACTAAAGTTTTTTACAAATATGTTACTAAACAAACTAATCACTTATTTATTATCAATGATAAATATTATTAGTAATTAATTTTTATCAAACTTTTATGCATGCACCACCTAATTACCTATAAAGTTAAAACTAATTTCAGATCTTAAAATAGGAAAGTTGAGTACAATAATTAAAAATTATATAAAAATCTTACCATAACATTTAGGAATTTAAAATTTACTTAGATCAACATAGGTATTAAACTAACTTAAAATATATATTTGTGCATAACACGAATGAAAGATCTAATCTCCTTTATATCAAAGAGATAGATTTCTAGGCTTCT